GGGGGGGAGGGGGCTGGGAACACGGCAGAGATAGAGGCATGGAAAAAGACAGAAGTCCGATAAAAGCAAAAAGAGAGAGAGAGACACATGAAAAGACAGAGCAAGAGAAACAGAAGGATGGGCACAGAGAGGCATGACACACAGAGTAGACCAAACACAAAAGGATGGGGTTAGAGAATAAAGGGGAGGACGGCAATAGAGGCAGTTCCAAGTTTGGGGAAAAAGAGAGAGAGATGAAAAGCAAGAAAGAAAGACAGAAACAAAAGACAAGACGAGTAAGTAACAGACAGAACAGAGGAGGCTGGGCCGCTAAAAACAGACAAACAGATAGGTTGTCAGTCAGGCAAACACGCTGCAGGGCGGCTCTGGAATAACAGGCGGCAGAAAATAAGAGAGAAAGGGGGAGGAAAAGAGAGCAAGCAGTGCGAGTGTGTGTGAGATAGTGGGGCGGGGCAACGGCAGGGGTTGGAGGGCCGCCCAAGTCAAAGAGCGCCGCCAGGCACGCGTCGCCGTGAGTGACGCAAAGTCAATGGCGAGCCGCGCGAGGATCATCCCGGATCATCCGTGCCGCCGGGATCTGGTCCTGTCCGCCCGCGCCGCGGCGGGGATCTGATCCGGAATGAGATGACCCGATCCGACCCGACCCGACCTGGGCCAGCCGACCGGACCCGAGTGGGGACAGGTATAGTGTGGCCCGGCCGGACCTAATGCCCCAGCTCATCCGGGTTCCTCCGCACCTGTCCAGACATACCTCCGCGTTCCAGGCAAGATAACAAAAAACAAAGGGGGAAATAACAAAAAACTAGGGGGCCCCGATCATCCGATACATATGCGGATGAGATATGTACCCCAGCTATCCGCTTTAAGCGACGAGCTCAACCCAACTAAAATTTGAAAGATTGATACGAGTCATATTAAAGTCCGCCTGCTCTCCGTGAATTTCGTTGATTTTCCCCCATTTTGTTTCTTAGGGATTCGATTTGGGTTTTACTGTCCATTGGTATTGGTAGCCAAACGCGTAACAGTACAGCCCTTTTTTTGTGTGTGTTTATATTTGAAGGCCATGACGACGCCGCCGCCGCCGGCCGCCAGCGCCGCCGGGTACCCACGGCAATTGGCCTACATTTCACCTCTCTTTTTTCTCTCGTATTTTCCACATTATTTTTTTAGTACTCGACCCGGTCATTGTGCGCACCGCCCGCCCAGCCCAGGCTCACAGTGCGCGCGTCCACAGCCTGTCGGGTCAGGGGCATCTCTCCGCCGCGCCGCGCCACATGCCGGCGGGCTGCGTACGGCGGTACGACGGCGGCGGCGGGTGGTGCGCGAATGTGTGCGGAGTGTATGTGGGAATCGGCACGTACGCACGCGTGGCCAGGACGCGCCCACGGACGGACGGACGTACGGACGTACGGACGTACGGACGGGACGGGCGAAAGGAGCAGGGAGCTTCGCGTGACCCCATCGTGTGGTCAGCTCTACCGTCTGCTCACACCGAGAGGCAACAAAAATAATTAGGAAATGAACGGAGCCACTGCGAGAACAATACGCACCACGCGAGGGCATCGGCAAAGAGGCGGCAAGCGGCATCCTAACTGTCGAGAAGGAGCCCGCGAATTTAATAACAAGTTTTGCATAACTTTTAAACTCGTGTTAACAATTTTGACTGCACAGGCAAACGGGATACTTTATGGCCTTTACAACAAAAAGGGCTGTGGAATTGCAAAAAGACAAAAAGTTATTATTTTCGTAAAATTTCTAAAGAATTTCCTGGCTTCGAGTGTTGACAGTGAGTGCAACATCATCCGCAAGTGCTGCAATTAATCTTGCAATGAATTAGAGAAAGGGCTGTGGAGAGACGTGGACGTCTCCTCTGCTCCACGAGCCCGGCCTAAACGAGGGGGGAGGGGGGGGGGCGTCTACTGTGCTCGACGAGCCCGGTCTACGGCGGTAGCGAGCGCCTGCGGGGCGGGCGGGTAGGCAGCACCACGACACGGGCGCGCGCCAGCCCGCCGGACGGCCTACCTCCCAGGCGGCCCCCAGGAGTGCGAACAGGGACAGGACAGGGCGGGTCAATCCCTATCTCTTTCTCTGTCGCCCGCACAGACAGAGAGGCCTGGCTACTACGGCCGCGACACAACCAGGCCAACGATCCGTCGCGACAGGTCAGCGCGCCGGGGCACGTGAGTGGGAGCGAGACAGAGACAGCCCAGCGCACGTGGGTGCGAGAGAGACGGACTGCCGCGCGAAGGGGGGGCAATGCTCGGGATCAATGGATGCTGGGCTGGGATCGACAGGACAGACGAGTCGCGGTCCGATGCGTTTGGCTCCGGACGATGGCGGTGAGTTGGGGTAGGGGAGGG